TTACAAGTTTTGAACGAAGTAAAAGCATTTGCACGTTTATTATTGTCAAAATGAATTATTTACAGCATTATTTTTTTTACAAAAACAATGAAAATATAACATTTTGTGCTCTAAATTAATAAAAGTGAAATTTAACAAACAGAAAAAAGACATATCTGTACATAAAACAAGTCGAAGATTTTATGCATTTTGAACATTGTTACTAAAAGACAATAGTTTGATTTATGAAAAATAAAGTTCAGGATCTTAACATTATAGGACTTTGGCAAGAACTGCTAATAGACCAAATGGACTGTTCAACAAATTGTACTGGCAACTTTTTGTCAAAGTCTACATCAAATTCCATCAAAACATTTCCGTCCAAATTCAGAGGTTGAAACAATTTTAAAAATGCAAATAAACTGCTGAAAGCGTCATTCTTGCATTAATGCACTGTTAAGCGCATGCAAGCACATCTTTTTCTATGTCGTTAAATCGAACAGTTGCCATTTTTTTTCAAATTTGTAAGATACATGGTTTTTATAAAAATCGAAAATTTTTTAAAGTTTTCCTTGCCATAAATCCCAAAATGAATAACATACATGAGGTAATTGTGGATGAAAATTTACATATGCAAAGCATGGGAATCAGGAGCAACATAAAGTCATAGACGGTTTACAAGATTATCCAAGTCTAGCCAAATTCAGAATAATATACAACAAAAACTGATAAGGTTACGCAAAAAAAAAAACCAATTAAAGTGACTTTTCACTTTCACTTAAAATATACTCTTTACTCTGGTTCTCGATGTTCAGTGATGAATCTTTAACACAACCAAGCCTGTCTTTCTCAATCACCCCTTGCTCCCGAAAAATTAAAATGCATTAGAATACACAGCAATTTTAATTAGAACGCTACTCTGCACATTTTAAGCATATTTCTCACTTTAGAAACTCAAACCAAACGAAGTTTTAAGGTTTGCATACACTTTGGTAGAATATCGAAATTAGAGTTTAGCGGAACAAAATACTTTGAAATAACATTTTAGATGATAATTTCGTAAAAGTCTTAAATAAATTACTGAACAAACTGCAAGTATGGACTTTAGTGTAATAGATAAAATAAGAAATCCTATAATCTACTTTTTAAAAAATCTATAGGTTTTGTGAAAGAATTATTAATTATTCACTATCTTTTTGAGCAAAATTGGAAAAAATTGATTTAATGCTTTCATAATGCTCATTACCTCCCAAAAATTGGGCTTTGCGATAGCTCAAATTCTTTTGAAAATATGGAATGCAAAAGGCTGTGATTAATGTCAGTCCTACAGAGACATTTTAATGGACAAAAAAATCTAAATGAAGTCCGTTTCCCGTTTGTTGTTTTTCGACACTTCTGTTTTGTAATATAAGTCCTAAACAGCATATAAATGATCCCAATCTTAGGGATTTTTTGTAGCCAACTATAGGAACAGTTTTCTCATCATACACGCATTCTAGCAATGAAATATTAACTTTTATTTCGGGTGGCAATCTTTACCCCACGCCTTTTAATTTTGTTTCAGAAAGGAGATATTTGATCCCCGCCCAGCACTGAAAACACCGAGAACCAGAGGAAGTTTATTCACAGCAACAGTGCCATATTCATATCTGTTAAAATATCGTGATAGTACACGTGGACAATTCTGCAGTAACAGGGGCACATTCTGCCTGTTAATGGTGGGATTTCTAAGGTGTTAACGTTTTATTAGCAGTGTCTTTTTCAGATTTACCTTTTCTTTCTTTTCGACTGAACACACGATAAATGAATTAAAAGTTTCCTGTATGCATTTTACGTAATGGGGTTGCAATGTCCTTCCTTCCCAGAAGTCAACATCATTTTAAATGGATAAGAGTACATCGTCAAGTTCACAGCGAGGCGTCAAGTTGCAGATTTGCCCACACGCATATTTTCAGTGACAAATAGAAAACATTTCTCCTCTTGAAAATTAATTTATGATAATTTTAAAAGAATCACTTTATCGTTTTTATACAGACATTATTTCTCTGAAATGAAAACTTCAAATCTAACGTTTCAGGTTCAAAAGGGATGGGGATCAACCCCAACCCAAAAAGTATACATAAACTTACTTCATAACACCACGATCAGATAAGAGCACTGTACTACTACATAGTAACATACAATTACCAAAAGAAGCAAACCAACAATATGCAGGGCGGACGCTTAGTATGGATTTAATTTATATGAGAAGTTTTGGAGCAGAATGCTACAACCAAAAGCAAACATAGCATTCCATGCTAAATGTCGTCCCTGCAAATTAACGAGCAGACAAACGTCGGCATAGGAGGCAATCTTGGCATGGGTGAGGGGCTGTATATGTCGATCACGAAACGTGTCTCCGAGTAAGACGCGTACGGTTCTGGTTTCTTCGTGAACGGTACATAGAGTCACTGGAATTAAAGGAATAAATTCACATTCATGAAATACTGCCTAAAATCTGATAAAGCAGTGCATATTTATTACGGCAATTTGTGTCAGTATCCTTTGCGTTATAATCAACAAATCGCAGTTAAACTTTAAAATTATACAAACATATATGTTCATATTGAAGCCTCATGGAAAGATAATGGTATCAGAAACAAAAGAGTGCCCAACAGGCACTGAGGGAAAGCTAAGAGAAAGTATCCTTCACGTCAGTTATACCCCCTTTACACTGGACGGCGTCCTTTCTGCGTCCTTTCTGCGACCATGAAATTTGGCATCTCTGTGGTCTAAATAAGGAGACACGAGCATTGATTTTGTATCAGAATGAATGCTTAATGATCGGCCAGTTGTTGGCACGTAACGTATTATAATTTTTTAACTCTCAAATGGGCCCGTACTGCTGGACGCAGAAAGGACGCCGTCCAGTGTAAAGGGGCCCTTAGATGTCCCCATAGCCATTATGCCTAGAGTGCACCATTTCGGGAAAATGTCGTCAATGAAAAACTAAGAAATGCTACAATACATTTTCTATCATCTGCACGGAACTTACGAGATACTGCTGCCGGTTTCAGTACCATCTTTTCGGCCTACATGGGACAGTAGCAGTAATATGGCATGGGGCATCTTCTTCTCCATCTCCTACTGACCTTGGTCCTATCTGAGCACCTCTCACCAAAACGCTCACCTGATTTACATAATGATGAAGAGGTCACATACTTTCCGAGCGAACGCTTCGATAGTCTGTTTTACGAGACGGCACAATAAGTCTCCTTCTCGAAAAGAGGATTATAGGGTTTAATAAAGTCATAATGACAGACGCACACACACACACACACACACACACACACACCTGAAACAAATAAATAGAAATCAAAACGCATTTTCAGATTCAAGATGAGCCCTACTTGATATTGCATGACATTTAATGCATATAAATCAGCTTTCATGGGTCGATTGAACGAACTGGGGCGGGATTGTGCTAGAAAGGCAGGGTTTTCACGGTAAGCGTAAGGTTTTTGGTATTTCTTCTTTCTTTCTTTCTTGAAACATAGATGGACACTTTAAAAGGAAAACGTCACAGTTTTCACATGTTTATTGGATTGCCTTACCATAGGTAATTTTCCGTAAATAAACACTGCAGAATAAAGCACATATATTTAATGTAAAGAATTGGTCTAGATTGTGTGCTGCGTGGCGTTATGATATTATGACGCCATAAGTCAACGCAAAACGTAACGCAACGTCATCATAACGTCAGATAGAAGTATATATATTGATGCACCTTTGAAGATCTACATTACAGTTGTAAAAAACAATCCGAGCTTTCGGCCCCTGGGCCTTCTTCGGGGATTATGAACAAAAAGTGAAAGTCACGAGTGGGATGCTCCAGTGGGGGATTTCGACTTTGATTTCACCTTTGAAGAGGATTAAACACATTTTTTATAGACGTTGCAACAACAGACAACCCTGACACCCCCTACATATAGCAAATTTCCTAACTCTCTCACAAATTGTAAATATACATACTTCGTTTTACCCGATAGAGTATTTACCGCTACACAGACATATCTATTATTTCAACAACTTCATTGTTTCTTAAATATGCATATCTCTTTCATGGTGTACATATCTGAACTTTTCTAAATTCCAATAAACATTAAAGACTTCAGCAACTTTCTATTTCTATATCACTGGTAGACCTCCTTACAGAAAAAGATGCGAACTGGAAACGAGATATGTATATAATCTGCAGAATTTATTTTTTGTTTTTTTTACTGATCTAAGTTAATTTTATTGAAAAAACTCATATGTAAATAAAGCTATATCTGACAGTATCATTGTATGTGAAAATAGTTTAAATGCGGTTAATTGGATTTAAATAAAGGATGGTATACTGCAGTACAACAGACTTGTTATTTTTCATACTGGTGTTGTCGTCTATTGAAGCAAGATACTCACAGAGAAATCGGTTTAAAATAGTGACCGATGTGTCAATAACGCTTCACCCTCAAGCCTGCATCGATCTATAAAAGTAATTCCTCTTTTTGCACTAATATGCCCTTTAATCATGAAAAGGTTGTAATAGGGGTGGACCACAATACTGGCCTATACGAGACCCAAAAATGTTTTGATACAATGTTTACAGACATGTCTCTGGTTATTCACTATCTGTGCACGTCTGGTATTGTTTGTGAGCTACATTCTAAAGCCAGCTAATATTGATTGTCATGACTTTTAATTCCTTGGACTGTGTCCACCAATAACGAAGGTTGACAGATTTGACTTTTCACTTTGTTTTGGAAGTATTTGGATTTTAGAATTGGTGTTAGGTTGTTATGCTTACATAAATCTTTTTGACCACGAGATGTGGGGGAACACAAGAAGGTTCACAGGGTCTTTAAGTTAGAATTACAAAAGTGCAATTTTCCTGGGACGTCAAGTAATATTTAACTCTCTTTCTTTTCAGAAACTTGTAATATTATTTGACAAAATTCAAATTTTTTATACTATTAAGCAAATCATTTTATTCTGCGAAAAAAAGAGCAAATGAAGTTGCAGCGAGATACACATGTAGGACATTACAAATAAACATTTGAAAAACAAAAGTGCACCCAGTTATTAGATCGATAGTTAGTAGAAATAAACTGAACAAAATTTACCGTTTTCATTAATACAATAATTGATGTATACATAGAACGTCATTTTCAATATGATTTAATTGCATATAAATGACGGAATCACCTGTTTCTTTATAATCCCATTAAATTAATTAAAGTGTTTATTGTATTAAATTAGGTGAACGTATGTAATAAAAATGATCAATTTATTTAATTTCATTGTTTTTCGATCAGCAGCTCCGATGCAGTTCATTAAAAATTTCCATCATTCTTCATATTTTCTTCATACCCTGTACATGTACAATTTCTTTTTCGATAATCGAAGTTGTCTTTGCAATAAGTGACTAATGACATAAGTTTTCATAAACAAAAGCACAAAAAGAAAAAGCATAAGCATTTCAATCACAACAAATTCAGCTTAACTAAATTTTCTTATTCGAAGTCCGTAGGCAGGCGAAGTGTTGTTTGGTTCAATGTTTTCAGAAAAGTGACGTCATCCTTTCACTTTACTTAAAGGCGTCACTGAATAACCGGTGAAACACTAGCAACTTTCAAATCTGAAGACTTCACCTGAAACGAAATTCCATCTTGATCATATATGGAATGACCTATTTTCGTTTGCACATTGCGACTTTTACTTGCACTGTATTAAAAATGAAATAAATAGCAAACAAAAACATATATAATGTATACAGAGTTATTGGGCCAATTTTGATAAAATTCATGCATCTTACACGTCATCAACACATTGACTTTAAACATCCTTAAGGAACATGTAGTTTGAAACATATAGTTTGAAACAAATTGCGAATATAGTAACTATCACACAGAAAGGAAAGATGTGAATAACGTTCAACACGAGAATCAACTTACCATTTTCTGAGAAACAGTAGAAATTCCGGCATTGCTAGTAACGGTGACTTCTGACCTCAGTCCTGAGTTTGGTAAGGTCGCACCCCCAGGAGTGAGGAACAAACTGACAAAGGTACACTTGCCCTTAACCATGTGACAAGTACAGTCAAGGGGGTTACACGTACCATCAGGCACCTGGCACAAGAAATGATGAAATAATTCTATCACATTTTTACCTTCCCAAAGATACGCAAAGCAGTATTCGAAGCTAATCTATACCACAAAGTTTAAGAAATTTTATGGCGTACATTAAATATACATTTATGTGTAAACCCTGTTTCACCATTAAATACATGTACAAATTGTATATTTTCCTTATGATTTTGAAGAAGCGTTGCAAAAATGTAGACAGAAAATATCAAAATATTCTATATGCCTTATTTAACCTATCAACATTTATCATGACGCAAATATCAACATTTGACTCAAATACACTGTATGAGTTCTAGAAAAAAAAAGGAACGTTGGCCATGCCATGGCCACCTGACACGTTCAACCGACCAAACGGTCTTCTTTACATTAATGTTAGCCAGCAAACGCCAGATGACACCTAGATTGAACATAAGAGAGCGCCTCTGCTATATTCTCCAAGGTTTGGACACTACACGTAAACCAAAAGGCTGTGCACATGTTACCCATTACTCACAGAAAAGTTCCGACCAAATACTAAGGCTCCGTCTGTCAGGTTGAACAGCTTCCACTCAATGCGATCTATTCCGCTCTCTAACTCCTGGGCAGTAAGGTGAATTCTAAAAATGGAAGTAGAATTTAGTGGTTCGTAGTGGTCATCATTTAGTTGCAAATGTCGTAGGAGACCATCATCTTACATAATGTCGGCAATAGCTGACCAACAATTTGCAGATTATATCAATCAGATGTATTTCAATGACATGCACATCTTTTTGCGTGTTCACTAAAATATCTGTGTTTTACAATTTGAAAAAACAAAAAGTTTTCTTTCAAAACAACTTCTGAAATTTTTATTCGAGGAAAAATATGTAAAGTGCATAATGCACGACTGGCTCACCTTCCCATCCCGTTAAACACACTCTGAGCGTTTACAGTTGGGGCTACAGAGTTAACCTTGACTGTCACACTGTCGATGACATCACTTCCCATGGCGTCAACAGCCTTAACCCAAACTCTGGTGACACGTGCTGACTTAGGAACTGTGATGTTGTACTGTTGGGTTGTAGGATCAGGCAAAGTGTTCCAGACAGCTGGACTCGAAACATTGGCAGCAGAATCAGATTCAAAGAACATGAAAGCGATCTTGAATTGAACAATTCCATCGACGTTCTAGAATGCAAAAAGTGTGTAAACCAATTTGTCATACAACTGAATACGTTCATCCAAAAGCTTGTATATTACTTCTGCAAATGTATGTTAGTAAAACGACCTCGAACATAATTTGTGTTACACTAAAAGTGTTATAGATACGTTAAGTATGCTCATCAGAAAAGAATTACTTGTGCTTACCTTAGCCCCTGCAACATTATTCTGAAACTCGCGGTCGTCATAGCCAGGCTCTATAGCAGGGATGAAACCGTCGATTCGTCCAAAGAAACCGTTATCCGTGTGAAACTGGTTAACAAACACACCTTGAAAGTCTACAGTTATCACATCAGTGGCCGCGTTTAGCCACCCGCCATTGCTACCGATTATTCTAACACGGGCGCCGGCGGCTATCTCTGGTTTGTGTTTGCTGACGTCATCATAGAGAACAAACCGACGAGCTAGGATACTGTTACCAGCTTTATCATGTACTTTTAACACAACCGAGTGCAGTCCGTAATCGTTCAGCTTCACATCCACAGGTAACCTATCACCAGGATAGACTACCCCGGTAAAAGCTGGGTTATGGACGCTTGTGTCTTCCGTGAGGAGTCCTTTTGACCCGTTGTGCAGCCGGTAAATGGTGTAGGTATAGTTGGCTATGCCCGAGGCAGCATCCACCCATCCTGACCAGGCAAGCTTCAGGTCAGACTGGAAGACGAATGTTAAGCTGTTAGTTTACAAGTATCCATATTGGTTTTTGTACGGCTTTTTACATCCGCCCAGGTGGTTTTGTTTTCACGTTCGTTTGGCTGTTTGTTCGTTACCAGGTTTACTTTAAAAAGTAACGGGTGGATTTTGAAGTAATTTTCAGGAAAAGTAAAAAACGGGCTAATTTAAAAGTGCTTTGATTTTGGTAGTGGTTTGTTATCAATATCACTATCTGAAACAAAGAATTTTAGGGGATTCTTTACCATCGCCAAATAAGGCCAATGACCTTGACCTTGTACGATGGATGTGGTTTCAAGTACCCCATGTATCATTGCAGGATGCTTGACGGAGTTCTGCACTCTCTGAGCGCATTTCTTGTATTCATTTTAGAACAAATTTCACTTGGCTTAGCAAAAGTTTGGTTGGAAATTAAGCAGATCAAAAACAAGGCTATATGTAATACCTTTCATTTCCGTTTTGGTATATGTTAAAATGGATCAGATAAGATGTGCCTGTTGAATATCCTTACCGTTTTCAGTATCCCGCCTCCAACATCCAGCATCAAGTTCTTGCAACCATAGCTCACAGCACAGTGGAACGGACGCATGAAGTCAAACCTCAGTTCTATTTGTTTTCGGATTGACTGACCCTGGTAGTATTTACGAATAGAGGGAGACCGAGCTGGTGGCTGCAGGTCGATGTAGCCGCCATTTTGTGCATAAGCTGTCAGTTGTACCCTAAAAAACGAGAGGAATGGTTTTGGGCTTAAATGATCTTCAGGAGCGTGCCATTCACTGGAACATACTTAGTGCTTTCAGATACTTAGATTTAAGATTTTTACCGACTTTTCTTCATGTGCAGTTAATCAAAACCTTGTTCTTCTGACAAAAACAAACTGCCTACTATGTTTTTGAGTACAAATTCGGCATCCTTGAATGTCTTCAAAAGTTAGGTGTAACATGTACCCGAGTCCACTTTATTAAATTACAATGCTTTACATACAGTACCTTACCAGTGACAGGGAGCGCATTGTGTTTTTCCGATACATATAATCTGGCAGAGAAAACCTACTGCTATGAAAGTTCCATATTCCTTGTTTGTTAGAACGAAGCTCTACGGTACAATTACCGCAACTGATACTCTGACGTATTGGAAAAAGGCATACAGGGTATGTGGTGAGGTGACAAAATTAGTCCAATTAGCTAAAAGTAATATAGGAGTTGTTGCCACTACTTTACTGTTAAAATAACCCTACTTGCCTGTCGCTGTCGTGGAAAGTCCAGCTAACATGCTGATATCCGTAGCAGTTTAAGTGGTGAATGGGTTTGTCTGGACTTGGGTTTGTTTGACAGGTCAGGTTTCCCCTCAGCAGTTCGTAATATCCTGCAAAAATACACATATTTCACTTTAATATCACCTATCAGTTTAATAATAGGACCTATACTACATTACATTTTCATGATAAAATGTTTTTTTTCTCGATTTGGCAGACCTATATACATGTAGAAAATACGTGATATGGATATTCCTAAATGGACTATTTGGCATGGTTAATCTGCATATTTAAAAGCCTTCTTTTCCATGGCACCAAGAATCACTCCGATCTGAATTGCATTTAATCGTACTTAGCAAAGCTTTAAAATTCAAAACGATTGAATTATCACAAAGAACAGGTCAAAAAAAGCAGTCTCGCCTCTGACGATGGAGAATAGCATTCCAGACTCGACAATACCGACATCTACGGACGGAATGTAGCCCGGTGGCCGTGGTAGGGAGTGGTTGTAGGTTAAGGTCCAATTCATTACGACGCCCTGGGCCTTCTTCAGACTAGTGAACCCCAGCGCTATGGTATTAGACACATCGTTGAATTCTATAACTGCCCTGTTTTGACCGTACACGACAGATATCTCTCCTTCAATAAGTATTGGCTTCTCTGCAACTGAAAAGTAAAAGATGGCATGAACATCTTTCAGACCAAATAACTTACAATATTAAAATTGAACTACTCGACTTCAAATTATAATAATTTGAAATAGATTCGTTTACACCGGTATTGCACAATTGAATGATGCTGCCATCTTTTTTTTCTAGAAATCTAGGTTAGAAATGAGACAAACTATTTGTTAAATCCGCTAAATAAATAAATATATAAATAAATAAAACATACTACTAAGACAGTACTCTCCAGTAAATCCCCTCTCACAAGTGCAGTTGTTAAGTCCACATTTCCCAGGGTAACAATGGGTTCCGTCAATTCGCCAAGATGTGGAGCATTCCTCTGCAACAAGAAAAGAAAGTGCCAATAGAATAGAATAGAAAAGTAGTGCCAATGCAAACAATGTTTAAATCAAATGCCTCAAAATATTTCCATATGTCTGAAAAAATAGACATTTTTTTTCACAATTGATGAAATCCTCACGACTTTACCGTTATATTATGTTACTACCTTTAATGGTCACTATCGAGAAAGACGTGGGATAGAATCGGATGAAATACCTGAAATTTGACTATTTAACTCCGATAACTTACCTTTGGAGAACTGGTTTGACGCAACACTCTGGAATGCCAGAAAATTTACTAAGTATACGGTATAATTTGATATAATTGCAAATTTTTCACAACAGTCTAGTTATAAGATATTTCCTTCATGTTAAAGCTTAATTTTCTAATTTTCAGCAAAGGGATAAAGGTTAAATAGCAGTAGGCATGCTTCTATCTGGTATTATATTTGACACAATCATTATTATTTTTGCAACATATTATGTATGGAAATACTCACAAAAAGTTGGTATGTGGCATTCAACCTGGCCTTGTTGTACACTATGACTTGGATAGAAACGTTGTTCTGGGCAGCACTCATGCGCCGTGGATCGGGCTTCATGGTAACGACTATAGCTTTGCACGTGGCCGACGGCAGACAGACACATGTTGGCGCATTGCAGTGGTTCTGCAATAAATTGCTTTATTTACAAATGTCAGATTCCTCACGCGTTCATCCTTTTTACATCGTTTTTGAAAGTGCCAATGAGGGTCACAGTGTACGTTTTAAAAGTACGGTATGTTATATATGTTTGTATTGAACGCTGTATGAATATCAATATTGATACAAGGAGAGGCATTAACCAATAGAAGTAAGTCAAATACAGTTGAACAACCAGTACTTGTTATTGGAGCGTCATGGTCAGTGAATTAGTACCTATTTGACATGTAAGTAGATATATGTTTGCTGTTTTAGATGACAGGGGGGAAATAAAATGCTTTTTTTCTTTTAAATTACATCAATAGATTGCCATTTCCTATTTTTGCGAAAGATAACAGAGAACACTTTCCTACTCTTTGAGCTTAAAATATTTATTTCAGCACACAAGTAATAAGAAGGTGTCATCTACAGGGGTATGATGAGACAATGCATTGACCTGTAGCAACTTAAAACTGGTATCAAGCATGCGGGTGTGTAATAGGCACAGTAAAGTTAATGGAAGTGCCCCTGAGAGTTAAACTTGTTTGTGGTAGTTTAGACATTCTGTTGTTTTTTATTCTTAACATTTGATCATTTCACTGAATTATAGGTATTGGTTTTGCTTTAACTTACATCCGTGTCAACCTGGTTGTCTTCTATCAGCTTCCCGGTGATAGTGTCGGTGATTCTGTATCGTACTCTATGTATACCACTCTCCTGATCGTGGGCTTTAACAGCAACACTAAAATAATATTTAAATATGAAAAGATATATAAAAAAACTTACAGTTCATGTGTTGGCGTGGCATGTAATTTTGTATGTTTATTTCATTGTTGATTTTATCATGTTTAATCATTTGCAGTAGATTTCCCGATGCGTTCATCTAAAAAATCTTGGCTTAAATGTTTATAACTGAAATCGTAGCTACGAAAGCGAAAGCAAATTCTAGGTGAACCAAAAAAACCAAGTCATAAATCAATGGACATACCTCCCAGCCTCAATAGAAGCCTGTCCTATCACTGGGGGTGTTGCATCAACACGCAGAGTGATACTGGAGACCTTGCGGTTTCCCTTCAGATCACTGGCACGAACCCAAATTTTAACTGTGTCCTGTTCTACTCGTGGTAAGTCAACAGACACGTTTTCAGGGACACCGGGAACAGTTTTCCAGTCCCCTGGTGCGTCTTCGTTGACATGATATCCTGGACCGTACACTTTGTAGTCCACTTCGAACTTGACAATGCCGTTGATATTGGGGACTGCTTGCTGTGGACGAAGGCCGAACTTTTGGTCATACGAAGGATCTGGGTTGTCTTCAAAGAGTGCAATTTCATCAAGGAATTGGTTCGCAAAATAGAATCTGTTCACAAAGTGGTCTTTCCACGACACTGTGACAGTTGAGCCATTTTTAGATAGGGAATTGGCGCTGGAGATCCATGAGGAACGGGGTTGGTGGTTTAATGAGTCTACAGAAAGGGAGCTGTTGGCAAAAACGTCAATTGAGGAGGCAGAATCATAGATAACAAATCGTCTGGTTTTGATGCTATTGCCGGCAGCGTCAGTAACTGTCATTACAATTGAGTAAGCACCTGGGTTATCAACGGTAAACTGGGTACTGTTGTCATACTGGTCAAACTTTGCACTTAATACAGGTTCTTCAGAGAATCTGACTAGAACTTTCTGCTCCTCGCTGTACATTAGAGCATATATATCTACAGTGTATGAATCAACTCCTGCGTTCGTGTCCAACCAGCCGGACCAACTTATGTTGAAATCACCCTGAAAATCGAACGAACACCACGGATATGAAATAACGGTACAATTTTATGAGGTGACATTGAATTTGTTGCAGGTGATCTCTAAAACGTGAGGCACGTCTTCATAAGATTGGCATTCAAACAAAAACCACATGTTGGTTTCTAAACACGTAAAGGTTATTATAATCATAATACAACATTTATAAAACATCTAATCGTTTCAAACGAAATTAATGAACTGTATATTTATTGACCTTATAACAAATCAATTCTAATGAAAACATCTTTACCGCCTTTGCTTTAAGGCAAAAATCTTACCGTGCTAGTAATTTGGGGCTCCACTTTCATCATATCTGTAGATTTGCAGTTTCTCTGGCCAACAACATAACAGTGAAAAGGCTTCACGTAGTCAAACACAAACTGGGCTTTTAGCGGGTCGATACTCAGGCCTTTGTAATACTTGGTAACAGTAGCATTGAGACCAAGAGCATAATCGTGAACCTTCATGAAACCGCCATTCTTTGCAGTTATAGTGACGTCAATCCTAAATGGTCAAACATGGGGTTATATGCGTACGAATTAATTTGGAAAAACGGGCATAAAGAGTTGAGAAGCGTCTCTGTCAGAGCAGATTGGCTCACTATGTAGATAATACATTCATGAATACCACGATTTCATATACCGGTAGACATACTTACGGTCGAAACATTACGTAAATTAACAAAGGCAATCAGTGACTTACAATGTATACAGTGCTATGACAAGCAGATTATATTTTTGAATAGGTGATACTTGTAGTGTACACTTACACGTCCCCGTTCACAAAACCCCACATATACGATACAATNGTCGTTGACCATTGGTAAGTACGGGAAAATTGCCGTTTTTTCCGAGAAAATCCAATTTTTGGCCAAAACGAAGAGTTATTATGACTTTAAAGCTTAATTTTCTAATTTTCAGCAAAGGGATAAAGGTTAAATAGCAGTAGGCATGCTTCTATCTGGTATTATATTTGACACAATCATTATTATTTTTGCAACATATTATGTATGGAAATACTCACAAAAAGTTGGTATGTGGCATTCAACCTGGCCTTGTTGTACACTATGACTTGGATAGAAACGTTGTTCTGGGCAGCACTCATACGCCGTGGATCGGGCTTCATGGTAACGACTATAGCTTTGCACGTGGCCGCCGGCAGACAGACACATGTTGGCGCATTGCAGTGGTTCTGCAACAAAACGCTTTATGTACAAATGTCAGATTCCTCACGCGTTCATCCTTTTTACATCGTTTTTGAAAGTTCCAATGAGGGTCAAAGTGTACGTTTTAAAAGTACCGTATGTTATATATGTTTGTATTGAACGCTGTATGAATATCAATATTGATACAAGGAGAGGCATTGACCAATAGAAGTAAGTCAAATACAGTTGAACAAGCAGAGCTTGTTATTGGAGCGTCATGGTCAGTGAATTAGTACCTATTTGACATATAAGTAGATATACATTTGCTGTTTTAGATGACAGGGGGGAATGCTTTTTTTCTTTTAAATAACATCAATAGATTGCTAATTCCTATTTTTACGAAAGATAACAGAGAACACTTTCCCACTCTTTGATACTCTTTTATAAGCTTAAAATATTTATTTCAGCACACAAGTAATAAGAAGGTGTCATCTACAGGGGTATGATGAGACAATGCATTGACCTATAGCAACTTAAAACTGGTATCATAGGCACAGTAAAGTTAATGGAAGTGCTCCTGAGAGTTAAACTTGTTTGTGGTAGTAAAGACATTCTGTTGTTTTTTATTCTTAACATTTGATCATTTCACTGAACTATAGGTATTGATTTTGCTTTAACTTACATCCGTGTCAACCTGGTTGTCTTCTATCAGCTTCCCGGTGATAGCGTCGGTGATTCTGTACCGTACTCTATGTATACCACTCTCCTGATCGTGGGCTTTAACAGCAACACTAAAATAATATTGAAATATGAAAAAATATATAAAAAAAATTCAAGTTCAAGTGCTGGTGTGGCAGGTAATTTTGGATGTTTATTTCATTCTTGATTTTAACCTGTTTAATTATTTGCAGTAGATTTCCCGATGCGCTCATCTAAAAAATCTTGGCTTAAATGTTTATAACTGAAATCGTAGCTACGAAAGAGAAAGCAAATACTGGGTGAACCCAAAAAACCAAGTCATAAATCAATGGACATACCTCCCAGCCTCAATAGAAGCCTGTCCTATCACGGGGGGTCTTGCATCAACACGCAGAGTGATACTGGAGACCTTGTGGTTTCCCTTCAGATCACTGGCACGAACCCAAATTTTAACTGTGTCCTGTTCTACTCGTGGTATGTCAACAGACACGTTTTCAGGGACACCGGGAACAGTTTTCCAGTCCCCTGGGGCGTCTTTGTCGACACGATATCCTGGGCCGTACACTTTGTAGTCCACTTCGAACTTGACAATGCCGTTGATATTGGGGACTGCTTGCTGTGGGCGAAGGCCGAACTTTTGGTCATACGAAGGATCTGGGTTGTCTTCAAAGAGTGCAATTTCATCAAGGAATTGGTTCGCAAAATAGAATCTGTTCACAAAATGGTCTTTCCACGACACTGTGACAGTTGAGCCATTTTTAGATAGGGAATTGGCGCTGGAGATCCATGAGGAACGGGGTTGGTGGTTTAATGAGTCTACAGAAAGGGAGCTGTTGGCAAAAACGTCAATTGAGGAGGCAGAATCATAGATAACAAATCGTCTGGTTTTGATACTATTGCCGGCAGCGTCAGTAACTGTCATTACAATTGAGTAAACACCTGGGTTATCAACGGTAAACTGGGTACTGTTGTCATACTGGTCAAACTTTGCACTTAATACAGGTTCTTCAGAGAATCTGACTAGAACTTTCTTCTCCTCGCTGTACATAAGAACATATATATCTACAGTGTATGAATCAACTCCTGCATTCGTGTCCAACCAGCCGGACCAACTTATGTTGAAATCGCCCTGAAAATCGAACGGACACCACGGATATGAAATAACGGTTCAATTTTATGAGGTGACATTGAATTTGTTGCAGGTGATCTCTAAAACGTGAGGCACGTCTTCATAAGATTGGCATTCAAACAAAAACCACATGTTGGTTTCTAAACACGTAAAGGTTATTATAATCATAATACAACATTTATAAAACATCAAATCGTTTCTAACGAAATTAATGAACTGTATATTTATTGACCTTATAACAAATCAATTCTAATGAAAACATCTTTACCGCCTTTGCTTTAAGGCAAAAATCTTACCGTGCTAGTAATTTGGGGCTCCACTTTCATCATATCTGTAGATTTGCAGTTTCTCTGGCCAACAACATAACAGTGAAAAGGCTTCACGTAGTCAAACACAAACTGGGCTTTTAGCGGGTCGATACTCAGGCCTTTGTAATACTTGGTAACAGTAGCATTGAGACCAAGAGCATAATCGTGAACCTTCATGAAACCGCCATTCTTTGCAGTTATAGTGACGTCAATCCTAAATGGTCAAACATGGGGTTATATGCGTACGAATTAATTTGGAAAAACAGGCATAAAGAGTTGAGAAGCGTCTCTGTCAGAGCAGATTGGCCCACTATGTAGATAATACATTCATGAATACCACGATTTCATATACCGGTAGACATACTTACGGTCGAAACATTACGTAAATTAACAAAGGCAATCAGTGACTTACAATGTATACAGTGCTATGACAAGCAGATTATGTTTATGAATTGGTGATACTTGTAGTGTACACTTACACGTCCCCGTTCACAAAACCCCACATATACGATGCAAACTTGTCACAGAAAAGAGTACCCAGGGAAGGACCATCAACATTTTGCTGTTTACATGGTATGGTGGTATTTTGCACCACGATGGCACCGCCTGGAAATACATTGCATTTCATTGCTTTAGATATGTAGAATGCAATTCATTCAAATGATCATGCTTCTATATCATTATTTTTTGCATTATGCGTGTATTAGTCCGTAGGTAAATAAGTGAATAAGAAAACAAAAGGTATAAAATTTTGTCAAAATTCAGCAAAAGCCGGGCGCCATCTTGGGACTTTTTGAACATCGTAAATTACAGAGCACTTCGTAGACAACACATCTGGAATAATTCTAAATATTTCCCAGATCTCAGAAATTCTAATCTTTAACTCCTGCATTGCCATGACAAAACTTCTGGCACTGACACCCACCACCAGTTAAAAGGCAAAATTTATAAATGGTAAAATAAGGACTTAGTACCTAAGCTATGAGATGAACATTGTAAACAAAGCCCCTAAATGGAGAGTCTTACGACTATAACCCGCGGAATATATGTACTGTTTTACATATTATTATATCAAGTATGTTGCATTATGTTACATGTTACATGTCTTTGTTTGATACTATGTGGCTTCCAACTCATGCCTGTAAACAAATTCAAATACTAAACATGAACTCCTACCTCTAAGAGACATAACTATGTTGGCTTTGGTTTCCGTCAGACCTAAAGAGAACTCCTCAATGTAGCCTGGTTTCGGCGGGAGAGCAGCGTCATACGAAACATTCCATGAGACTTGGACGACGTTCAGATATTCCAAGTTAGTGTAAACCGTCGTGGTGCTGGCACTTGGGACTGCAGTAACAGCCTTAGAATGCAGTCTAAGATTAACCACAGCGTCGTGCACAGCAGGCTTCTGGGTGACTAAAGTGATAGTTTAAAACGCATTGAAATCCTAGAGGTGAAGCGTTGTGTCTGACAGATCGTGCACATCTTGCACTTTTTACATTATCATGTTTGTGTTAACAACCTTCTTGCGACTGAGAATACCTGGCGCCTTCCTAGCAACCTCATGCGACCTTAAAATAAAACCTATGTAAACCCTGCGACGGAGACTGCCTAAAAGTTGCCAAAAGGTTTTAAGGTCGATCGGTCGTTACGTGTTCCAACGTTCGAATATTTTTTTTGAAGAGACATTAAAATTTTGCAAAAAAAAAAAAAAAAAAAAAAAAAAAAAATGGGGATCACCGATCAAATAAGAGAACTAGGCCCAAATATATTACACCCTGCATATCGCACTAGTCCCCATTCAGATCAATGGGAAAATGGGTGTTTTCTCACTAAAGCATTATTTTTTATGATTTTCTAACGTTCGAATTTTTTTAATATTTTTTTTTTATGTAAAGAGGCATCCAAGTATATTTAAATTTTGCAAAAAAAAAAAAAAAAATTGGGGGTCACCGACCAGATAAGAGAACTACGCCAAGTTGAAGTGCAATACACCCTGCCTGACACGCTAGTCCCCATGTTCACTAAAACGTTATTTTTTATGATTTTCTAACGTTCGAATTTTTAATTTTTATTTTTGGTTTGTGTGGAGAGACATCCAAGTACGTTAAAAACTTTCATTAAGTTTAACAGTTGAAGTGAGTATACTAGCTATTTTCAGATTTGTCATACTGATGCAAAGGTATAAGCCATTAACTTTACAACAGATTTATTGAAGAGAGTAATAAGGATAAACGTCATGCATGTGAAAATAGTTTATTGCCGTTGTTATTTATTTATGTAATGAATATAACAAAACTGTGACTTTTTGACTCCTCCCCCCCCCAAAAAAAAAATGGAAATCAGCACACAGAAAAGCTCATTAATGTTGTATGTACCAGCACCACTCAAAAAGTCAAAAATCCACCAATAGCCAGAAAAATCTCAACAACACTGCCCTTCAAGAAATTGACGAAAACCGGAAAGACGCGATTTTCGCCGTTTTTTCCGTTATGCCCATCATAAACACTGTGTTGTCAAGTATACGCAACCGCTTTGAGTGAAATTTACCACACTTATTCTTTACATAATATAGCACCTACGTGCATAATTTTTGTTAGCTTTAGCTGTCATACTTTTACTACAGTGCCCATTCAAATTTGAAAAAGAGATATTTTCCGTCAATTTTCGTATGGAATCATAGTCGACGAATGTTGTCGAAAATCTATATCGATCGTACCAAGTTAAAGACAAGTTGATAATGTTTGTTTATCTTAAAGATAATTGTTTATTTTCTTAAATTGATAAAACAGACTGAAATGTCGTTAGAAACGATTGACGATGCGCTGAAATTGCGTTACGTAACGACCGATCTACCTTAAGCGCAGCGTTACCGAAGCTTTATTCTGTATGTAGCAATGATTCTGTCTGTATCAGTGTTAAAAGTAAAGTTTAAGTAATAAATTAAAGGTAAAGGGTGGTGCTATATATAAAATCTATTTACATCTACATACTTGTATAGACGCAAATACATGTACCTCAGTCAACAATAATGTTATTTGTGAATATATAAAACACAAAAACGTACTTTCTAGACAATGGTCTCCGGTAAACCCAATTGAGCAAATACATGGATCACTGGCCCCAGTACACACACCAGGGAAACAATGATGACTTTCATTTTTCCACGAGCATTTTGCTGAAAATTTAAGTACAATTTGTAGTTACTAGAAGGCACAGCAGATCCAGAAATTTTGTACAGTAGTTCATTGTATCATTTGCCCTTTGTACAGAATAAAAATAACGAATTGCAGGAAAATTACCAGATAAACAGAGTTTATTATTCTTAGGGAAAAATTCTTTGGTACAAATTTATCTAAAGAGTCTGAGTTCACTTTACACAGCACGTACGTCTGCATGCAGTCCCCCTATTTTCAAAAGGTGGCGCTGGAGTGTCATCATAGAGACAAGACAAGCACCTGCTTGAAGACCCGTCACGTGGGTTACACGTGACACTCTGACAATTGGCAATTGGAGGACATGCTGCAAAGAATATATTATTGACAAAATCAAATATTCTTCATTTTTATCAAATGATTTCAAGGTATAGGTACATTTATCCCTGAACGTTGTAGTAGATCTACAAATCTAAAGGAGAAATAATCGATTTGGAAAATGAAGAGAACTTTTTCTTATTCATATGTCCGCGTTATTGAGACACACTATGGAGCTTGAAGCACGCAGACTATTCATAGTAATTATAAATCTAATAAATAAAATTTTAATACATAAAATCAATAAATAAAGCACACATACACTTGCTGCATTTAGGTCCATAGTATCCCTTATCACAAGTGCAGTAGAATGAGCCGGGCAGATTATTGCAAACCCCATGCTCACAGTTATTGGTACCGTTGACTGATGTAGTGGCATTGCATTCGTCCACATCTAAGGCATACAAAAACCAAAGGCTGTATTAGTTCCGTCAAAGAAGGGTTTATAAGTAAAGGGCTGGCCATCAGGCAGTCATGAGAAAATTCGGATGTAGTATAAAATCTTTTTTAAAAATTTAATTGACATCACAAAACAAAACATACACTTTTCACACTAAACACATATTACAACATATATACAACAGACGCAAACTAGCATACAATAGTCTCGTTGGACGTTAACAGCACTAATAAAGGGGAGTGACAGAATACATAGCACAAAATAACAGTAGAGTCCAGTGGCTTAAGGNTTTTGGATTTAAAATAGTTGGAGAGAAATTAAATATTTTGTAGAACATTTTCTCGACAAAAAATAATATTCCATATTAAGTGGTAACCCTGTACATACCTATGTTGATTTTCATCAAATAAAGTATTTTCTCAGAGTTTTACACATCCTTATTACCCATTTTGGATTTTTTGACCAAACGGTAAAAGTTTTCAGGGGGCTACGGCTCTAGAATGATTTTGTATGTCAAAAGGTAACCACATGCAAAATTTGGACATGCGGAACACACAGAGAGATTAATTACCACTAGCTGCTCGAGGAGGCGTGTCAGACAATTAAGCTGATCCCACTGATTGCACTTAAAATAGCGAGAATCCCCTGCAGAATTGGACCGACCCAGGTGGTGCGACGCTTGAATATGAATGCGGCCATGGAGGAACAGGCTTTTGAAGGTGTCATATGTTCTCAATTTCTGCCAATTGTCGATTTTTGTTGTTTTCATTTTTTCTAATTGTACAGGAAATTGGAAACAAACAGGGTCTCATATCACCCCGGCAAATATAATATACTCTTTAGCAGATTGATGAAAAGATAATTAACGGTGTTCGGTACGGCAGGATTTTCCCCCTTGTCCATTTACATAATGCGGAAATAAACATTGTCATGCTATGTGATAATGCTGTTGCATCAAAAACATCGAGGTGATGCCTTAACAATAGCTTTTAGGGTAAAAACTAGAATATCGTTTTCAAACAGATCTTCTTCACCTGAGCAGCTATCAACGTCGATTTAACGCCCATTTAATAACAATGAGCACCACCACTGGCAATATGAAATTTTCTTAGGCAGCTTACTTATTTTATCGTCAATGATGCAAAATAATACCTTTGTTTAATGGAACACCACAACCCCAAAACGAAAAGATTTTTAAAAAACAAACAGCTTGCATCAGATTGTAGTTCCCACCCTAGCACCTGTAGTTGATCAAGCCAATTTTCCTGATAATATCTTTAAAGTAACCGATTTACGTCGGAAACTAATCATCATCTCACTTCGAGTTACAAAGCAACAACATTGACGATTTACGCTTCTCCACCCCATGTGTAGAGGCACGTGCCGTGGTGAATAAAACAAACGAAATTGAAGTTTGTGCTCTCGAAATGTTTATTTTTATTGCGATAATATTAATATAAGTATTTCACATAAAAGAAAAGGAGAAAAAAATTATTTTGTCAGTACAGGCCCATCTCAAGTATTGAACTCCCTTAAGCCCACAGATATAAGAATGATAATAATTCAGTAAAATGGCAACTCAATGGTTGAATTTGTACAAAAATGGTTCCATACAGATAACATGGTTGTGCGCTAATGTACCTACCTACGCATGTCCTGGACCCCGACAACTCATAACCACGAACACAGTCACATCTGTAGCTACCTGGGGTGTTAATACACTTATCTGAGCATCCTCCAGTATTATTACTGCACTCGTCAATATCGACAGCCTCTGGAAACGTTGAAATATCGACCTTTACCGAAGGCAAGGCATCCCAAAAGTTTTACATGTAGGACTAAGAGCCAGGACCCGGTTTTATAAAGGACGTTTAGCACTAACCAGTGGATAAGCCTAACCGGTGGATAAATTATCCAAACACAGTCAAAAACGGACGTGTAATTTTTTATCCAGTGTTTAGTTGCTATGAACAACTTATCCAACCATATTTGGAAATAAAGTTTCCCAGAATGCACTGGGTTTCAATAAACAAAATAAAATACCCATAATTAATCCATTGTTCATTTGTGTTGTCTGCTATTCTTTAATGTACTTTGGCAATGTCAATAATATCTGAGAAAACAAAGAGATGATTTAGATTGATTCAGATGATTTAGATTGCCAGAGTATGTTTATGTACTTATTTTCATAAATAAAATAAAATAATAATAATAATAATGATATCATAAAATATTCAAAATGAAATTAGTTTCATTGAAAGAACGATTCCTTTCCGTCTCTGAAGCTAGTTGGTTTTTGAAGTAAGTTTTCTAAATACAGTATTGAATTTCTACTGAATCTAAATCTTTCAATAAGCTCTTGCTCAGTTACTCCATCAAAATCAAATAAAACTCTTCTGAAATTTCTGTCTCTTCTCAGTGTAAAAGGTATATATATATATATATATATATATATATATATATATATATATATATATATATATATATATATATATATATATATATCTCTGCGAGCATTTCTGGCAAATCGCAGCAGGTTTGCCATTTTTATCCGGCGTTTAAGGAATTTAAACTACCTCCTTCGAGCGTATAAATTTAACCAACCGTTAAGACGATTTAGCCATTGGTTAGTGCTAAACAACGTTTATGAAACCCGGTTAAACGTCGCTTAAGTCAAATGCTGGATTTAACCGGTGGCTAGTGCTAAATGTCCTTTATAAAACCGGGCCCAGGTGTAAAGGCGTTTCTCTAGATTTCAGTATAATTTCAAAATGTATTTTAGAATTAGTTACTGCCGTGAACTTTTTGCATAATGAGAAATGTTACTAACAATATAAGCAATTGGTTTAATCAACAGACGTACCATATCGAGCCTCAAATCCATGGTGTCTGTAATTTGAATCGGAAGAAAAGTGAAATGTCATATAGCGACCTGATGAGTAAATTGGTTGAGGACGCTGGCCCCAGGAACTATATCCAAAAACCGCCACCAGGTTTGAGGTGGTGGAACTGTCATATATGCGAAGAACGTCTGAGTTTTCATATATATACAACTCTCTAGTAAAAGTCACCTTTATCCTGTATCCCACAGGAACAGTTATATACCAGTAACAGTCTTCATAATTCTGATAAGAATTACTATATCGTGCCGCATAGAATGTCCCCGACATCCCCGAATCAAGCCTGTAGGTGCCATCATTACAGTACTGGAAATGCAACGAATAAGTTCACACCTGGTTCCACGCACTAACATATATAATAGTACTATTTAAAGGTTTTATAATGTAGATAAATGAACGAATTACATATGCATTTTAACCAATTACTTCATCGCTACTTTCACACCGAAAACGTATTCGGGCGATATTTACCAACGGTCTTAAGACAAATCATCAAATTAGTGAACATTCATTTTAGAGGGTAGATAGGCTACTAGCATAAGCTCAGGCGTTTGTTTGTTCAAATATACAGATGGATGTTACAAATGTTGGTGGAGTTTATGAAAATAGAGTGCATAAAAAAATCCTGTTAGTTAAAACAACATGGTCTTTTTAAAACAACATAAGACGCCAAACTCTCGCATAGCATCAGAAACAAAACCAATAAGAAACAGAAATCATCGTTTTACAAAAAAAAAAAAAAAAAAAAAAAAAGAATCACTTAAACAGTCTGACTCTTCCACTTAGTGGAAGGAATCGAAAGAGCTAGCAGGTTTGAATAACAATAAATGATCATTAGAGTCACTTGCTGATAACACATCAAATGGTAATTACCAGGTTCTAGTAAAAAAGATCAATGAATTCTTTCAAAGTGTTACTAGCAATTTGACGCCTCTTATACCGGTTGAAAATGTCCACCAGAACTATATAGTACCAGATGAATTTACTATTAGTGTAAATGGATTCGAAAAACTTCTGATGTTAAGCTCTCAAAGGCTATAGGTCCTGACCAAATCCCAAATTGGGTCATCAGAGATTTTGCAGGCTTCATGTCCAAGCCCTTGAGCGCAATTTTAATAGCTCTATCAGAGAGGGATATGTACCTGACACTTGGAAATCTGCAGAGGTAATACCTGTCCCTAAAGTTAACCAACCAAAAGTGATAGAGGCTGATCTTAGACCAATATCGCTTACACCAGTGTGAGTAAAATATTAGAGTCATTTGTGGCAAAATGGGTGATGGGTGGCCTGCAAATCGATAGGTCCCAATTTGGAGTAGTCAAAAATAGCTCTACTACCCACGCTCTAGTAGAACTGACTTACAAAGTACTAGAAAGTCTTGAACCATCTGCTAAAACCAAATCTTATTCCCAAGTTTTATTTTTAGATTTTTCTAAGGCATTTGACAGAATAGACCACAGCATCTTAATTGAAAAACTGGGCAGTCAAGGGATTCCAGAGTTTATTAGGAAGTGGATTTACTCCTTTTATGCCAAAAGTAGGGCCTATCAGAGAGTGAAATGTGGTCAGTGTAAATCTGACTGGGTCCAGCTTAACGGAGGGGTAGGCTACCTCACGGAACAAAGTTAGGTCCGATCCTGTTTATAGCTATGATAGGGCCTAAATGATCTAAAAACCTGCTGCCCACATATAAAATTTGTTGATGACACATCTATTTATGAAATTTGTCAGTTTGGCCAAAAGTCACTACTTCCACAGGCAATAGAGCAACTTGAAAATTGGGTTAGAAAAAACAATATGAAATTGAACGTAAAGAAGACAAAATGTATGGATTTTAACTTTACCAAATGTATAGATACCATACCAACACCATTGGTAGATGGAGAAATTGTAGAAAGAGCGAGTTAATTTAAGCTACTGGGAGTAGGCCTAACTCTGACCCCTGATCTCAAGTGGACAGAACATGTGTAGTTAATTTATTCCAAGTCTTGTGCCAAGCTTTTTTTATCTCATTCAGTTGAAAAGGGCAAATCTGACCACTGAGGATCTAATAGTTATATATCAATCAATAATTAGATCAGTCCTAGAATATGCATGCCCTGTGTGGGGGCCTGGTCTTACAGCCGAACAATGTGAATGCTTAGAATCTGTTCAGAGGAGAGCTCTTAGAATTATTTACCCATTTTATACTTACAAGGATGCCCTACAGGCTAGTAGGGCCTAATCTCCTCTCTCTGAGGAGAGAAGAGACGTTTATTAAGTTACACCATCTGTTTAAAGAAAAGAATCCAAGAAATCTCAGGTTCAGCAACAAATTTTTAATACCAAGAGTGAAAACGGAGCGTTTTAAATCATCCTTTGTAATGCACAGTCTTTTAAATTTCATGTAAAATACTGCTCCAAATTGTCTTTTAAGTCTTGTTTTAAAGCTTTGGTCTTTTAGTTTATAATTTTTAGTTACTTTTAAATACCTTATGATTTTATTAATGATACATTGTAAAACTTCAACCTCTGGGTTGCGATTATAGCAAATAAATTATTATTATAATCGTTCACGCTCATCCGTTCTGCTCACGCGCACAAAGCGCAGGCATATCTGAGAGACTTCCAGCGTGTACAGTCCGTCTCCATCGATTCGTCAATACATTCTTAGACTTTATAAACACACACTGTTGAGAACATACTGAAAATTCAAACATAATCTTTATAAATATCTATTTCTTAGATATGTTCACCTCTACTGCCATTTCCCTCAGGTGGCCATATCAACACACTAGCCTAGTAAAATCAATACAAAAATAGGCCTACATGTAGTAGACCAACAGCCCGTCCACGGGGGCCGTAGCAATAGTCCGAAGGTTCAATAGTCCGACGGTTCATTGGTCCGAATGTTCACTATAGAACCTTCGGACCAATGAACCCTTGATTAAAAAATCGATGAAAATGTTACCACTTTTCGGACCAATGAACCTTCGGACCAATGAACCTTCGGACTATCGAGACGCCCCCTTTCCCTGTACCGATTTCGGTACTTTTGTAGTATACCCCCCCACCCTGAAACTTCCTGAAACTTTCATTTTTCAAACATTTTTTTACATTGTCTTTTTCATCTATGTCAAAACTGTTGAAAAAAAGTTTTTGTAATTACCTGTGGTCTTTTTATTAGTTTTAATCACGTTTAATCCACCCCATTGAAATACAATGTGAAAATTTACAATGTACCCGCAGTCAAGAACTTGCCGCGTTTTCGNTGAAAAAGATCAATGAATTCTTTCAAAGTGTTACTAGCAATTTGACACCTCTTATACCGGTTGAAAATGTCCACCAGAACTATATAGTACCAGATGAATTTACTATTAGTGTAAATGGATTCGAAAAACTTCTGATGTTAAGCTCTCAAAGGCTATAGGTCCTGACCAAATCCCAAATTGGGTCATCAGAGATTTTGCAGGCTTCATGTCCAAGCCCTTGAGCGCAATTTTATTAGCTCTATCAGAGAGGGATATGTACCTGACACTTGGAAATCTGCAGAGGTAATACCTGTCCCTAAAGTTAACCAACCAAAAGTGATAGAGGCTGATCTTAGACCAATATCGCTTACACCAGTGTGAGTAAAATATTAGAGTCATTTGTGGCAAAATGGGTGATGGGTGGCCTGCAAATCGATAGGTCCCAATTTGGAGTAGTCAAAAATAGCTCTACTACCCACGCTCTAGTATAACTGACTTACAAAGTAGGGTAGACCGGGGCTAAACGCCCAGTCGGGGTCAAACGCCCACCCGCTTTTTTTCAGGTATTACGTATAAATACGCGTCTCGCGATGTTTTGTCCACTTCCGATTTCCAGCAGACTTATCCTCCATGACGGAGATGACCACAAACTAAAAAATAAGCATTTTATGATAATTTGTTCATTTTTACCTTGTTTACTGTTATTTAGCCTTTTCCTTAACATCAGTGACACCACCTACCAAATGCACGAATTCAAAAAACTTTGTTGGTGACAGATAGGATGGTATCAGACCTCCATACAAGTTTCGATGAAGTCAGATTGCATAAAACTTTTCCCGCCGAATTTTGAAAAAATATACAAAATCTCACTTTGGGGCAAAACGCCCATGCTGATATGGGGCAAAACGCCTATAGTGGGCGTTTTGCCCCGATCACTGGGCGTTTTGCCCCCTTTCGTTTTTAATTAAAAATTAATTCTAAAAAGATGCGGAAGTGTTCTTTCATGCATGTTTTTTTATTGTATATCATCAGTTAAAACACTTATATGGGGAAAAGCTAAAGCAAGTGGCTGTACTAGGAACTTAAGTATCACTTTGGAAGTATCACAGTGCCCTGTCGTAAAGAGTAGAATTACAGCTCATTCTGAATAAATTTGATGGGTATTTTTATTATCTCAGTACCCCCAAAATATTATATGTTGCTTTTAAAGGCTTACTAAGTTGTCTCATAGAAATATAATTTGATTTTATTTTGCTTTGTACAAAGGCGGGGCATAACGCCTATAGTTTGGGGCAAGACGCCCACGGTGGGCGTTTAGCCCCGTGGTGCGAGGCGTAATGCCCCAGCCATGGGGCAAAAAGGCCGATTTTATAATTTACCTATTTTTTACCTATAAGGTTTTTCTTTTGTTTGTTTCCAAAAGTGTTAGTATCAGTTTGTAGTCTAGTCAGCCCTTCATAGTTAACACCCACTTTGAACGGTCTATACCTTCAGCAGGGAAAATTGTGATGTTTCTTGCTTAAGGGGGGCGTTTAGCCCCGGTCTACCCTACTAGAAGGTCTTGAACCATCTGCTAAAACCAAATCTTATTCCCAAGTTTTATTTTTAGATTTTTCTAAGGCATTTGACAGAATAGACCACAGCATCTTAATTGAAAAACTGGGCAGTCAAGGGATTCCAGAGTTTATTAGGAAGTGGATTTACTCCTTTTATGCCAAAAGTAGGGCCTATCAGAGAGTGAAATGTGGTCAGTGTAAATCTGACTGGGTCCAGCTTAACGGAGGGGTAGCCTACCTCACGGGACAAAGTTAGGTCCGATCCTGTTTATAGCTATGATAGGGCCTAAATGATCTAAAAACCTGCTGCCCACATATAAAATTTGTTGATGACACATCTGTTTATGAAATTTGTCAGTTTGGCCAAAAGTCACTACTTCCACAGGCAATAGAGCAACTTGAAAATTGGGTTAGAAAAAAACATTTTGAAATTGAACGTAAAGAAGACAAAATGTATGGATTTTAACTTTACCAAATGTAGGCCTATAGATACCATACCAACACCATTGGTAGATGGAGAAATTGTAGAAAGAGTGAGTTAATTTAAGCTACTGGGAGTAGGCCTAACTCTGACCCCTGATCTCAAGTGGACAGAACATGTGCAGTTAATTTATTCCAAGTCTTGTGCCAAGCTTTTTTATCTCATTCAGTTGAAAAGGGCAAATCTGACCACTGAGGATCTAATAGTTATATATCAATCAATAATTAGATCAGTCCTAGAATATGCATGCCCTGTGTGGGGGCCTGGTCTTACAGCCGAACAATGTGAATGCTTAGAATCTGTTCAGAGGAGAGCTCTTAGAATTATTTACCCATTTTATACTTACAAGGATGCCCCACAGGCTAGTAGGGCCTAATCTCCTCTCTCTGAGGAGAGAACAGACGTTTATTAAGTTACACCATCTGTTTAAAGAAAAGAATCCAAGAAATCTCAGGTTCAGCAACAAATTTTTAATACCAAGAGTCAAAACGGAGCGTTTTAAATCATCCTTTGTAATGCACAGTCTTTTAAATTTCATGTAAAATACTGCTCCAAATTGTCTTTTAAGTCTTGTTTTAAAGCTTTGGTCTTTTAGTTTATAATTTTTAGTTACTTTTAAATACCTTATGATTTTATTAATGATACATTGTAAAACTTCAACCTCTGGGTTGCGATTATAGCAAATAAATTATTATTATAATCGTTCACGCTCATCCATTCTGCTCACGCGCACAAAGCGCAGGCATATCTGAGAGACTTCCAGCGTGTACAGTCCGTCTCCATCGATTCGTCAATACATTCTTAGACTTTATAAACACACACTGTTGAGAACATACTGAAAATTCAAACATAATCTTTATAAATATCTATTTCTTAGATATGTTCACCTCTACTGCCATTTCCCTCAGGTGGCCATATCAACACACTAGCCTAGTAAAATCAATACAAAAATAGGCCTACATGTAGTAGACCAACAGCCCGTCCACGGGGGCCGTAGCAATAGTCCGAAGGTTCAATAGTCCGACGGTTCATTGGTCCGAATGTTTACTTTAGAACCTTCGGACCAATGAACCCTTGATTAAAAAATCGATGAAAATGTTACCACTTTTCGGACCAATGAACCTTCGAACTATCGAGAGGTTCATCTATGCGTCGAACTGTAATTTGACGCTGAATTTCTATCAAAATTATCAATTAAAAATTCTGATTTAACACATGAATTTTACCTAGAAGAACCCCATTATAGTACAGTATAATGAGGTAAGAATCGAACAAGCCACATCAATGCACTAGCCGAATAACAACGGATCATTCACGGAACGGTTCATACACGCGCCTGCCGCGTGTCCAATCGGTCAGGACGGATGGTTCACGCAGAACGGACCGTACACGTGACAAACTTACCGTATAATAAACGCTTTCTGTTGACACTGTGTGGAGCAGAACTGACAGACATAAAAATGTCCAGACAGTGAATTCTAGCTGCGACATTTTACACCACACTGCTACGCTAATAGGCCTACAGTAGGACACGTATACTGTTATAGTGAATAATAACGACGGTCTGGAGCTTTCGAAGGTTTATTCACCGACTCTATTTTCATACAACTTCACAAATATTTAAACTCTTTTTTTTTTCGTACTGATCATGCGTTTACTTGTTTTCTTTCCATTGTCTTTGGGTGATTACAAGGACTTTTCCATTCTCATGTTGCAAGCCACCATGCAACATTTCCTTATTAGGTAATCTCTAAGAGACTTGTTTTCAATTGAAAATATTATTTGAATTACTCATTCTTGAATTATATCCAAAACTCAACGGTCATGTGAGAAACAGTTGATCAAAGTTAAAATATACTATGAAATTAACCAATCACATAAACTGTTATTGACTTTGACCTTTTCCGTCTTTTTCTGACACTAAAAACATGTTCTACACTTGTTGACTCTTGATGAAACTTAACTTACACTCAACAACTACTTATCCTTATACTCGTTTGATTCCGTTTTTTTTTTAATTAAAATTGTTATCTGTAAGGTTACATCCCTATACGTCCCCGCACCAATACTCCCCCGCAACTATACTCCCCCGCAGCCCCGCAGTATCGATGCGGGGAAGCAATAATTTGGGTGTAGGGGAGTAACGGTGCGCCTACATCGGCAATTTTACAGGGGATGTATCGATGCGGGGATCTATAGGTGTGGGGCCGTATCGATGCGCATAATACAAAAATTTACTAAGGGGTATTATTGGTGCCGGGCAGTATCGGTGCGGGGGAGTAACGGTGCGGGGGAGTATCGACATGACCCCACAAAAATAGCCGGAGAATGGCAACTCATCGAAAATGAGTAGCCTACGTTAAACGTAAATCTCTATTGCAAAATATCTACTGTGGCTTGAACTTTTATATTTTAGAAAGTGAATAAGCATTTGTTCTTCTGTCGAAAAGGAAGTTAATTTTACCAATTAACCGTCAAGAATTCTTACCACTGCACTCTGAATACAGAGGACAGATTTTTTTTTACAAAACCAAAAACGCATATGCCTAGGGAGGGATTATAATGCGGTAATTTGTTTACAAATATAAAATTAAATTGCGAAAAATCATTGCCAATGTAGGCCTATCAAGGTTTTCATTTTTTAGGGAAAATCCCGCACACTCTTGGGTTTCTCAGTCTCAACGGAAAATCTGGGAAGTTGTCAAAATCAGCGCAAATTTACTCCCACGCAGCACCATATCTAATAAAATACCCATTTTTGCCGTCTTTCAAGCCAATAAACACCTTTATTCACTCTAAAAAGTTTCGAACTAAATTCAAATTTTACATAAAGTTCTATGATCCACAACATTCACTTCCTCTTTAGCAGCAAACTATACGTACTGACCTTGAACTGGTTTGATTCGTAAATAACATGTGACACAAATCATGCGACATGCGGATTGGGTCTTCTTTTGACGAAAAAACGTGTAAAGTATGACTTTTGACTTCTGTTGAAAACCTATACCTACCTCATGATAATCCTCAAATATAGTTTACCGGGTACATATTTGGGTCAGAAATTTCCGCAAGTTTTGGTGCAATTCGAAACTGGCCGCACAATTTAGTCCACCTGTCCACCCTCGTGATATAGTCCCCCACCTGATATGCATAAAAGCGTTTAGAAAAGCTCTTTCCTTCAATATGTGATGTGGCCAAACAATTTTAACAATTTTAACGGTGCATTAAGATAAACAGTAAAAGAATATCCACAATAAATTCGGCAACCGAGAGGTGCGGCAACATATAGATAATTGCGGTAGTATTTATGCCGAAACATCAAAATGAATAGCCCCGCCGTTCGAGCCTTTTAATCAGATTCAGATCAGATTAACCAATCAAAGCAACGGAAAGGGGGTCACGTCACCTTCCCACCAGGCCATGCCATGTAAACAAAGCAGCATGGTCGGCTGTAATGAAGAGTCTGAGGAGGGAGACACAATGAAACGATAGACCAGTGTAGGTAAGGGACTAATATGAAACTGCAGGATTTTCAATGAAAATAGGTCAGGCGAACTCTCGCAAAACGAGAGGCATAATTCGTGCCTTGGTATTAATTTAAGTTATATTTTTCCTATTCCAAACAATTATTGCCTAAATAAACTGAAAACCTTATTTGTGATCAAACTGAATTTAAGAAATGTATAATTAAATTATTTGAAGACCCAATCTGCATGTCGCATGATTTGTGTCACATGCTATTTACGAATCAAACCAGTTCAAGGTCAGCACGTATAGTAAGGAGTTTTTTTCCCCAACTTCAGCCTACATACATAAATATTTATGTTGCGAGTTATGGTATACAATGTATCATGCATATAGTTTTGTTTTAACAAACAGGGGATGTTTTAAAACAGGGGATGTTGTTCATTCTGCACTGAGTAACATCGGCCTACGTCCCCGCACCGTTACTCTCCCGCACCGGTTCATCCCCGCACCAATACTCCTCCGCACCTATATCAATACTACCACCGATACTCCCCCGCACCGATACTCCCGAGCACCGTTACTCCCCCACAGCATAGATTCCCCATAGGAATTTGACACCAAAATCAAATTTTCTAGATTTAAAAATTTGCTGTAATACGATTCTTTTACAAAAGTGCGCCACCTTCTTTGGACCCAAAAAGGACACATTTTATTCGAAATATTGTAGAAAAATAAATAAACTAAAATTGGTCTGCTTTGTAACTTAGATCATAGTCCATCTTTGTGAGATTTTACAATAAACGCTGTCCTTGGACATGGACCATTGGTTGATGTCCGCGCCTTGGGCGAATTTAGAAACCGGCAATAAGAAAACATTGCATAGGGGGAGTATCGATGCGGGGGAGTAAAGATGAGGGGCAGTATCGATGCAGGGAAGCAATGATGTGGGGGAGTATCGGTGTGGGTGAGTAACGGTGCGCCTACATTGGCAATTTTAAAGCCCCCGCACAGGGGTGCTGGAGGAGACGAGAATTGATCAGAATTGTGCCGGAAGTGACGTGTAGTGGTGTAAGACGCGAACCTGAATGGTCATTTTTAGTTGGAGGTGAACGGGAGTAAAGACGTGGACTCGGAGAAAAAAAGCAGTTTTTCTAACAACATGGTAAGATAACAATTTATCTTTATGCATTTGGGACAGAGAATACTTGTAGAAATAATTGGAGCATGATATGAAAACGTGTCACGGATTTTATAGGTGAAAATTCGTGCTTAATTTGCAGTCGATTTGTTTTGAAATATATGCTGCATCAACCACCAGCGCGACAAAAGCGTCAAGGGAAAATAATTCCTAGGAGGCTATTAATCGTTGTCATGTGGAGTTGATGCATGTATGCAATCTGCTATGCCCATATCTAAGTATTTTTGGGTGTTTTATGGTATGTGCTGCAATTATAACGATGTTTTAGAGTCTTTGAAAGACCTTGTGAAAACCAGGAAGTAGTTCGCAACTGACAACTGAACCGTACCGTTCCACGACTGATGTGCAAAGATTTCTTTCTTTCTTTAATATTGTGACAATAAGGGGTACCGGAGGAGATCAGCATTGGTCAGAATTGTGCCGGAAATGTGACGTCAAGTGGTGTAAGACGTAAAGCTGAGTGGTCATTTTTAGCTGGAGGTGAATGAGAGAGAAGACGTGGACTCGGAGGAAGAAGCAGTTTTTCAAACAACATGGTAAGATAACATTTCTTCTTTACGCATTTTGGGCAGAGAATACTTGTAGAAATAATAGACACATGATATGAAAACGTGACACGGACCTTGAAGGTGCAAAATCGTACTTAATTTGCAGACAACTTGTTTTGAAATACATGCTGCATCGACCGCCAGCGCGACAAAGAGAAAAGAGTTCCCGGGGGGCTATAAATCGTTGTCATGTGGAATTTTGACATTTATATAATCTGATATGTCCACCTTTAATTTAACATTTCTTTAGTAAATGTAAATTTAGTAAATCAATCTACATGTCTTTTCTTTAAACATTACACTTCTTTAAAAAGTATCATCCTCAGATGTATTTTACAAATCACAGGTAATGAAATACAAGTATATCTCATTTGCCACACCTGTAAGTATCATAATATGTGCCTTGAACTAAGACATCCCCTGCACATGCCATACAAACAAACTGGCAGCTTGGCCAATTGACTTGGTCAACTAACTTACCCAACTTACCCAGTCAGGGTGTAATAAACATGGGATCTGAGCTTTTTATGCATATGACTAGATTAGGTCCGGGCCTTTGACATATACAGAGGTACATGTACATATTTTGTCCTACCCGATAAAGTCTTGACCACTTCACAGACACCTCTCACATTTACAAACACTGTATTGATCTGTATTAGGTAAAGGATTCTTTTCCACGGTGTACATACCTGGACTTCTCTTGAAGACTAAACAAAATTCCCACACAAAATTGTAAGGGACAAATTTCTGTTTCTTATTTCTATNGCGGGGCAGTATCGGTGCGGGGGAGTAACGGTGCGGGGGAGTATCGACATGACCCCACAAAAATAGCCGGAGAATGGCAACTCATCGAAAATGAGTAGCCTACGTTAAACGTAAATCTCTATTGCAAAATATCTACTGTGGCTTGAACTTTTATATTTTAGAAAGTGAATAAGCATTTGTTCTTCTGTCGAAAAGGAAGTTAATTTTACCAATTAACCGTCAAGAATTCTTACCACTGCACTCTGAATACAGAGGACAGATTTTTTTTTTACAAAACCAAAAACGCATATGCCTAGGGAGGGATTATAATGCGGTAATTTGTTTACAAATATAAAATTAAATTGCAAAAAATCATTGCCAATGTAGGCCTATCAAGGTTTTCAATTTTTTAGGGAAAATCCCGCACACTCTTGGGTTTCTCAGTCTCAACGGAAAATCTGGGAAGTTGTCAAAATCAGCGCAAATTTACTCCCACGCAGCACCATATCTAATAAAATACCCATTTTTGCCGTCTTTCAAGCCAATAAACACCTTTATTCACTCTAAAAAGTTTCGAACTAAATTCAAATTTTACATAAGGTTCTATGATCCACAACATTCACTTCCTCTTTAGCAGCAAACTATACGTACTGACCTTGAACTGGTTTGATTCGTAAATAACATGTGACACAAATCATGCGACATGCGGATTGGGTCTTCTTTTGACGAAAAAACGTGTAAAGTATGACTTTTGACTTCTGTTGAAAACCTATACCTACCTCATGATAATCCTCAAATATAGTTTACCGGGTACATATTTGGGTCAGAAATTTCCGCAAGTTTTGGTGCAATTCGAAACTGGCCGCACAATTCAGTCCACCTGTCCACCCTCGTGATATGAAACTGCGGGGTTTCCAATTAAAATAGGTCAGGCGAACTCTCGCAAAACGAGAGGCATAATTCGTGCTTTGGTATTTAATTTAAGTTATATTTTTCCTATTCCAAACAATTATTGCCTAAATTAACTGAAAACCTTATTTGTGATCAAACTGAACTTAAGAAACGTATAATTAAATTATTTGAAGACCCAATCTGCGTGTCGCATGATTTGTGTCACATGTTATTTACGAATCAAACCAGTTCAAGTTCAGTAAGTATAGTTTGCTGCTAAGGAGTTTTTCCCCAACTTCAAGATCAAGATTAGCCTACATACATAAATATTTATGTTGCGAGTTATGGTATACAATGTATCATGCATATAGTTTTGTTTTAACAAACGGGGGATGTTTTAAAACAGGGGATGTTGTTCATTCTGCACTGAGTAACATCGGCCTACGTCCCCGCACCGTTACTCTCCCGCACCGGTTCATCCCCGCACCAATACTCCTCCGCACCTATATAAATACTACCACCGATACTCCCCCGCACCGATACTCCCGAGCACCTTACTCCCCCACAGCATAGATTCCCCATAGGAATTTGACACCAAAATCAAATTTTCTAGATTTAAAAATTTGCTGTAATACGATTCTTTTACAAAAGTGCGCCACCTTCTTTGGACCCAAAAAGGACACATTTTATTCGAAATATTGTAGAAAAATAAATAAACTAAAATTGGTCTGCTTTGTAACTTAGATCATAGTCCATCTTTGTGAGATTTTACAATAAACGCTGTCCTTGGACATGGACCATTGGTTGATGTCCGCGCCTTGGGCGAATTTAGAAACCGGCAATAAGAAAACATTGCATAGGGGGAGTATCGATGCGGGGGAGTAAAGATGAGGGGCAGTATCGATGCAGGGAAGCAATAATGTGGGGGAGTATCGGTGTGGGTGAGTAACGGTGCGCCTACATTGGCAATTTTAAAGCCCCCGCACAGGGGTGCTGGAGGAGACGAGAATTGATCAGAATTGTGCCGGAAGTGACGTGTAGTGGTGTAAGACGCGAACCTGAATGGTCATTTTTAGTTGGAGGTGAACGGGAGTAAAGACGTGGACTCGGAGAAAAAAGCAGTTTTTCTAACAACACGGTAAGATAACAATTTATCTTTATGCATTTGGGACAGAGAATACTTGTAGAAATAATTGGAGCATGATATGAAAACGTGTCACGGATTTTAAAGGTGAAAAATCGTGCTTAATTTGCAGTCGATTTGTTTTGAAATATATGCTGCATCAACCGCCAGCGCGACAAAGAGCGTCAAGGGAAAATAATTCCTAGGAGGCTATTAATCGTTGTCATGTGGAGTTGATGCATGTATGCAATCTGCTATGCCCATATCTAAGTATTTTTGGGTGTTTTATGGTATGTGCTGCAATTATAACGATGTTTTAGAGTCTTTGAAAGACCTTGTGAAAACCAGGAAGTAGTTCGCAACTGACAACTGAACCGTACCGTTCCACGACTGATGTGCAAAGATGCATCTTTCTTTAATATTGTGACAATAAGGGGTACCGGAGGAGATCAGCATTGGTCAGAATTGTGCCGGAAATGTGACGTCAAGTGGTGTAAGACGTAAAGCTGAGTGGTCATTTTTTAGCTGGAGGTGAATGGGAGAGAAGACGTGGACTCGGAGGAAGAAGCAGTTTTTCAAACAACATGGTAAGATAACATTTCTTCTTTACGCATTTTGGGCAGAGAATACTTGTAGAAATAATAGACACATGATATGAAAACGTGACACGGAACTTGAAGGTGCAAAATCGTACTTAATTTGAAGACAACTTGTTTTGAAATACATGCTGCATCGACCGCCAGCGCGACAAAGAGAAAAGAGTTCCCGGGGGGCTATAAATCGTTGTCATGTGGAATTTTGACATTTATATAATCTGATATGTCCACCTTTAATTTAACATTTCTTTAGTAAATGTAAATTTAGTAAATCAATCTACATGTCTTTTCTTTAAACATTACACTTCTTTAAAAAGTATCATCCTCAGATGTATTTTACAAATCACAGGTAATGAAATACAAGTATATCTCATTTGCCACACCTGTAAGTATCATAATATGTGCCTTGAACTAAGACATCCCCTGCACATGCCATACAAACAAACTGGCAGCTTGGCCAATTGACTTGGTCAACTAACTTACCCATTATGCTCTTAACAATGCAAAGGCACCATAAAGAATGGGCCCAGTCAGGGTGTAATAAACATGGGATCTGAGCTTTTTATGCATATGACTAGATTAGGTCCGGGCCTTTGACATATACAGAGGTACATGTACATATTTTGTCATACCCGATAAAGTCTTGACCACTTCACAGACACCTCTCACATTTACAAACACTGTATTGATCTGTATTAGGTAAAGGATTCTTTTCCACGGTGTACATACCTGGACTTCTCTTGAAGACTAAACAAAATTCCCACACAAAATTGTAAGGGACAAATTTCTGTTTCTTATTTNTTTACAGTAATAAAAACTGTTACATCTATATCTAATCTACTTAGAATGTTGAAGTACTGGGAACAAGCTATGTATATCACCTGCTGAAGTTTTGATTTCCATTAATAAGGTTGATTTTATATATATATATAATCAATATACTCAGTATCTGACCCTAATTTTAATTAATTAAAATATAATTTATTAAAATATACTAGATGCACTGCGGAAACAAACGTGGATTTGATGCAGCATATTAAATCTGAAAAAGGATTGATATTCTGCAATATAACAGATTTATTATTTTTAAATTGTTTTGTCGTCTATTGAATCAAATACAGTCTGTATCTATTGAATCAATTACCCGGGTATATGTATAAAGAAATACAAAGCGAGCATACGTTTATATATCTGTGACTTTTGTTTTTGTTCTTCTTGAGAATCCATTTCCCCGCCCATAAAAATAGCAAAAAGGTTTTATATAACTTCACGAAATTTACGTCTCCTTTTGTCAAGTCTCGAAAGTTTTTGTTTACCATTATTTTGGATATGTTTCGACATTCACTTTCCGTCGTTGATTTTTTTCAGAAAATAAATACAGTAAACAAAGATGTGTTGTGATTGAAAGAAATCAAAGGGAAAAGCCAAAAATTTGAGAATTCAAAGTTAAAAAAAAAAAACAAGAGGAGTTCAAAATCGTCTTTATTGTAGAAACATTTGTTCTGCAGCTCATCTTCCACGTTCTTTAAATACCGCTACTAGTACCATTATATATTGCCTGCTATACTTGCACCTCTTTGACTAGTACTGACTTTTATTACAGATATAGAATGAAATCCATTTGAAAGTACTTAGTACTTATCTTAGTAATTTACTTGGTACTTTATCTGTTCCAAACGCGTTACTCTTCTTGTTTCACTGGACACAAGTAACGCACTTCGTAATCATAGCAGGTAGGAGCCTGCCGGCCAACTTCCGCATTTGGCACCCAGTTCCCGTTGTCACCATGGTAACAACCAATCCCGATTGGGCTTACACAAGGAAGCTTGAGATTCTGGCCGGCTTGTTCCCAGGGCACGTGCTCGCCGTTTGGCAATATGGCACGGCATTCGATTTCAGCGGCAGTGTGACCCTTACCACATGGAGGCTGGAAAACACAGTTTCTTACGTAAAACTCATCGCCGACTTTCACTGTTCAGTAGTAAATCATACTGTTTTTTTGAGCCCGATAATTTTATAGAAAATTATGAAACAATACGAGTCGAAAACGTATTTTCAAGAGCTTTGTTTCATGCCTCTGCATCCAACCACATTTCATTTATTTGTGTTCATACTTTAAGATACAAGTATATATCTATATAAAACGTCACAAAGAATTGGCAACTGCCATCGATAAAATAAAAATTTTTCCTTCAGCTTTCGAAGCTGCAATTAATTAGGTTATTTACGTTTGGGCATTGAGGCACTACATGTACATGGCCATTATTTTAGACATTTTGGTTCAAGTACTTAGGCAACATTGGCTCACCGGTTTAACGTCCACCTCCCAATCACCGTCTCCATCCTCGGGTGTGTCGTTATTGATCCAATCAGTCCATTCATAACCTATTGGAAATATGAAGGATATTGCTGTATTTCAGCTTTAACGTTATCTTATAATTTTGTCACCTTTTTTAAAAAATTCAATTTAAACGCAGTATTTAACATTGTGTTTAATTCTTAATTGTGTTCAATTGTCCTTTATACCTAATGCTTTTTTGGTTAAAAAAGTAAACTTAAGCCCATTACTAACAAGGGCGGGTGCCGCAGACTTTAGTCTGCTTATTATCTCCTTGGCAACCAGGGCCATTGTGACATGTCCTTGACCTTGACGTCTGCCCGCCACCACAGGTCTTAGAGCAAGCGCTCCAAGCACTCCATGGTCTCCACTGTGGGCCTGAAAAAAGTGAGGAAAATGAATCAGAACAAGATAAAAATAAGTAATTTTGCATGACCATCTCTTATTGTGTTTTAAGAGTCATACACAGTTAGCCGATGTGGAGAATCAGCATTTTTTCAGTAATTAGCAGTTGATATAATTAGTAATGGCAATTAAGTTTTTAAATAGCATCCAGCTTGCAGTGAAGTACAGTAGTAGGTAGGTAATCTGTACAACTAGTTTTTAAATCTCGTTTTAGAGATATTTCAATTAGTATCTCTCCCCTGCAGGTTGTCATTCTTCGGGTTTTGATTCAAGGCTGTGATATAAACATACCAGAAGAGGCTTTTGAGCGTCAAAAACACCTCAGAATCAAAATTTGATCTAGGTTCTATATCATTTCTCAGGATTGGTCGACTGTGGGTGGGGGAGGGTCCTTTCAGAAAAAAGGGCCCTGACTTCTCCTTTAAAAATGTACAGATCAGGTGCGAACAGCTACATGTATAAATTATTTAAGCAATGATATATATGAATGATATATATGAATGGAAGTATGAAAACTGGTTTAATTAAACATAAATATTTACAGGGCTGAGCGTTGCAACTTCGTGACTCCGTGTCACTTCCCGGACAAGGTCCGTTAGAACAAGTTCTTGTCCTGGTCTCCACTCCGCCATCACAGGACTTTGTACAGCTGCTCCAGTCGCTCCACGGGCTCCACTCAGGACCTATTTATATAGAGCGAAGAATTTATTTATTTTTAACGTTGAAACAATTAAGTGCTCGTGCAGAAATACATGTAATTCCCTCATTCTCTCTCTCTCTCGCTCTCTCTCTCTCTGTACGCGTTTATGTGTGTTAGTGTATGTGTGCGACTTGGCGTGTGCCTCGTAATCATTGGGAGAGGTGTACAGAGTAACTTTCAAGGTTAGACAATACAAAAATTGATTCATCAGTATATGAATGGAAGTATGAAAACTGGTTCAATTAAATATAAATACTTACAGGGCTGAGCGTTGCAACTTCGTGTCTCCGTGTCACTTCCCGGACAAGGTCCGTTAGAACAAGTTCTTGTCCTGGTCTCCACTCCGCCATTACAGGACTTCGTACAGCTGCTCCAGTCGCTCCACGGACTCCACTCAGGACCTAGAATTAAAAAAGCGATCATCGTTATGATTTTACCTTTATCCCGTGGAAAATTGATGCGCTTTTTATGAACTCTCTCTCTCTCTCCTCTGTGTGTTTGCGCGAGTCATTCGTATTTATTGGTAATTTAAAGACCTAGCTAACTTACAAGGCTGAGCGTTACAACTTCGTGTCTCCGTGTCACTTCCCGGACAAGGTCCGTTAGAACAAGTTCTTGTCCTGGTCTCCACTCCGCCATCACAGGATTTTGTACAGCTGCTCCAGTCACTCCACGGGCTCCACTCAGGACCTTTTCATACAGAGAGCAGAAATTATTCATTTTTTTTCTTAAAGTTTCTGTTGAAATACGTGCTTGTACAGAACTCTCTCTCTCTCTCTCTCTCTCTCTCTCTCTCTCTCTGTGTGTGTGTGTGTGTGTGTATGGTTTGCGCGTCTTTTGGCAAAGATATGACTTACAAGGCTGAGCGTTACAACTTCGTGTCTCCATGTCACTTCCAGGACAAGGTCCATTAGAACAAGTCCTTGTCCTGGTCTCCACTCCGCCATTACAGGACTTGGTACAGCTGCTCCAGTCGCTCCACTGGCTCCACTCAGGACCTATTCATGTATAGAGCAAATATATTCCTTTTTAACGATTCAGAGTTCATACGTCCATTAAAAAACGGCCTTACAACTCTAGATATTAAAAAAACACGTGGAATATTTTATAAGGCTTCAACTCGCGTAAAACCAACACTTAGATATTTCTTCTCCATCAATGTAGCAGATAAAGGCTTACAAGGCTGCACGTTGCAGGACTTCGTTTCCTTATCATTGCCTGGACATCCCGGGCCATGTCGACACGTTCTTGACCTTGTGGTCTGCCCGCCACCGCAGGTCTTAGTACATGTGACCCACTCGCCCCAAGGACTCCATTCCGGACCTGGAGGTTAAAAAATACGCACTGATTTTCGAAGGCTGACTATAGTGGACATGAATCAACTTGGTGTTTTTCGGTGTATGACATCGCGCTACAATTAGTGATTGAAAGAAATGGTTTAAAGGAACAAAATGAAATAGCGTAAGACCTTTATATGACAAAGTCAAAGATTAAATTTTCCTGGAAATTTCAAGCTTCCCCTTCATCACAGAGGCATACCATATACCCAACTGTTCACAGAGGTACGATCCCTAAACCAGTTTTTTAGCTCTAAGTTTCAAGTTTTTGAGTCACTCTCAATCACTATGGGGATATAGACTGATGGGTTTCACTGGTGACGGTAAAAATAGAAATTATAAAGTAAAATTTGTTTATAGACTATTTTTCTCAACGATTTTGGATTGGGTATGTAAATCTACTTAAATCTGTTTAGATTTACTGACCGTCACAGTCATTGCAAGACAATGATATGACCCATAACTCATAAGGTCTGACTGGAAAATACCAAAGAGAAATGAGCATGCTATTTCATTTTTGCGGGTGTAAAATGTTGGGAGTCTTATGAACTCCAAATGTCCCAAAGTAATTACTTTTGAGTCCGTTAACTTCTTATCCCTTACCAATACTCCCTGATTTGAACTTTTAGACTGGAACTCTTTTTTCCTATCAATGTGATGAGTTGGCTAGCCAACAGGACCAGTCAAGTATACGACTCAATTCTTGTGACCTTGGCCGTTACTATCATAGGGAAGCTAGGTGAGCGCGAGTGAGTACTGGTACACAAGCAAGCCAAGACCCTCAAAACGCCAAGGTCAAATTAGCCTCATTACCGACATTATAGGCCTTCCTATTGATTAAAAGGTATAAATTGTTCCGAAAGCACAAAGAATTGTGCATTTTGCTCCGTCAGTTGTGCATTTAATGTGGTTAACGGGCATCAATATTTATCAATTTATACTTCTTTTAGCGAAAAAAGGAAATGGTTTAAACGATATCCAGGGATACCTTATATACTAATTTACCAGTAGCATATTTTAATACCCTTTCAACCAAGACTAGGCATATAACGTAAATATTTTAAATTTGCAATTGAGTTGGCTTTTCAATATATTTATATTTATGGCACATGGAGAATAAATTGATGCTACACAGTCCGTACACAGTGGGTTAATTTGTGTGAAACCATAGGGCGTTGCTCTCGATACGTCTGTTTAGTTTGTCGGCATTCTTTTTGAAAATAACATTATATATTTTACAGTTGGCTATAAATCCAGGATAGCTGATTGTTCTATTGGTTTATTAGGAAATTAGAGCAGGGAATAAGTATACACTAATGTTTTCCCCAATATATTGCTTAATTATTATGGTAATTTGTCACATGAATTCGGTTGCAATTATAGAATTTGTTCCCAATCATTTCTTAACATGTTCCTGAACATTAATGTATTTTAGCACCAACACAGGATGATAAAATGTACAAATTGGCCGTCTACTTTTCAAAGGAACCTTATGCACTGTGCCAGAGACTTTTCAAGTTTTATATTTTATATTTATAAATCTACAAGGTAGGTAAATTTACAAAATTTACAACAATCCAAAAACTTTTTTAACATGAGCAAAACCAACACTCTTGGTCCTGATGACAAAATGTTTTCCTTGATTGTTTTACTGTAATAAGCTTTTCTTTTAAAAGCAGATATACTTACACGGTTGAAGATTACAAATTTTAGTCTCCGTGTCTGACCCCGAACATCCGGGCCCGTTCTTGCACGTCCTGTTTCTAACGGCAACGCCTTCCCCACAGCTCTGGGAACACGTTCCCCAGTCACCCCACTGGCCCCAGTTTGGTTCCGGCTTGCAGTCTTTCTTTGACCACGCCCGGAGGACGCACGGGTTCGAAAAGTCCGGGTATTTCCGTGCAACACCGTAGGTAATCGGGACTTTGGTTCCCGGAGCACAAGGATGGTGCCGCGGACCAAGGAGGCGCGTTCCACGATATTCACATTGGTAAAACCCGCATTTGTCGGAAGAGTCTCGCAAGTACTGGTTTCTAGGGCGGCGTTGTGGGTCGCATTCTCCCACTGGTGTTGTGGAATTAGTGAATAAATAAATGAATAAACAAACAAATAAATAAATTAACTAGAAAATACATAGATGAGAACGAAGAAAAGAAATGCAGTCGGATAATTGCCGATATATTTTCCAACGTCACTTTCAGAGGTCGGACGTAAATACTCATTTTTCAAAATTGAAACTTTAAATAATTCAGTGGAAATCGCACAAATAATAATAATAATAAGATGGGATGAGCAAAAAAACACAAAAAAGAAAGCAAGGAAAAATTGAGTCCCCCACTTACCTGGCGTGAGAAGCGCCTGCTCAGTCAAGACGAATATCAGAACTACCTCAAGGACTACCCTCATGTTGTGTACACACAGAATAAATTATGGTCCGATCCTTCTTTTATATTTTTTTCACAGAAGAAGGCGTGCCTGCGATTTGACCACTACAACACGTCCACGTCCCCACACTCTGAAAACTGACCTCAACATGTCCGCGTCCACTCAGGCCCATTTTCAGCGATCACGGGATTGGTTTTCGTCATATCTCGGTAAAACATAGTTCTAATTCTACCCAAACGGCAAGAAGAAAGTAAATTGTATTTTACCATGAACAATAACAAAACTGCACTCGAAATATGCTTTTGTACATTGGCCGAAGTCAGTATTTTCTCTCTCCAAAACGTTTCCACTTTCCGTGTCGGTTTAAATCAGAACGGTAATACCATGTCGCTGAACAAAGGCTATCGTTCGACTCAGAAATGGCATGCAATCTGGGAAGTGGTTTCAGGACTGGAGCGTTCCAAACATTTGCCATGTGAACTGAATGTATGTATGACACTCCTGTTTATCGCCCAGGCTTCCTTTTTAAACATTTGAAAACAGCTAATACTTGTCATTATTGTGTATAATTACTTCCAAGGAAATGAAATATGTGATATATCATAAAACTAGACATGAATTGGCACTACGTACAAATTGCACCGATTGTTCCCAATAAAATAGATGCGTATGTGTGTGGGATGTGGGATGTGCAAACGCATGGGCAGGTGCGTGCGTGCGCGTGTGTACGGGGCGGGTGTTGGGTGAAAATACAAAGGCAAAGCGGTTGTCAAGCATTGTTTGAGTTCAGAGTAACTAAAACGTCTGTAAAATTTAGCCTGCAAGATCGATATTCAAAGGTTTACTGAAGAAACCTGTTTGACGTCTACCCTCTTATATCAGGGCCCCTGCTAAAATACTATACAATATCACACAATAGACTACAAGTGCATCCTGTGCTCAGAGAGTATATGACGTTCCTTTGTGAAAATACTAACATGTTAGACTACATGTACTTTTACGAGTTTGGTTTTGAGGTTTTGTACTGGTCATGCACAGTGAACCGATTGGAATCGTTTGTAAACTAGAAGTTATCTGCAGCAATTGTTATGAATGCCGCAAGCATCACATTATCATATTGTGACGTCAAAGTCCCCTGTTTGCTGGAGTTCTTGATTTACCGGACAGAGGCCAGAGGAAGCAATTACTTCATAAATTTTAATTAAAATATTTAAAAAAATGATAATCATGTCACATCTGGCGTTTCGGGGTGCAGTTTTTCCGTAATTTTTTTAGAATCTATTTCCTATAGAATAGTCGTCTGATTTTAATAATTTTGATTACGCATGGATATTTGAGGTGTCAAGTTGGACTACTCTTGTACATGTACATGTAGTATGTGCATGTGCATGTATTACTATGGACTCGCTTTTTTGTATTGTGTTGCAGGGGTTTATGCTGATCATCTAGTTCATCAAAATGAATAATAATAATAATAATAACAATTACCAAGAAAAGCATTTAGTGCACCATGCGTTTATTCATAATACATTTTCAGTTGCACCATAAGGGCCTGCCTAACTATAACATCTTTTGTGTATACTGGTCATATACTTTGTACCAGTAACTGTGACAATGTTTGTGATAACTGATTAAATAAATAGTACTAGTACCTTTCCTAGCACAATGAAATCACCAGCAATCAAAGTATATTACATGTATTTAAATTCCAAATATAACGATAACCAACCCTTGTACTTGTACAGTGTACTCCAGAACTACAATAAAGATTCTCTTCTGAATGTCACTAAAGTCAATTATTTCTTTCTCAAAGAGTGAATGTTTTGATAGGATAGATGAAAAGAATGTGATAAAAGGAATGTTTGATTGCCACAAAAAAGCACATCATTAATATTCTTATGAAATCATACATATTGATATTCCTCAAATAAAAGATGTTAATCTTAACATACAATGATTTAAATGCATAGTAAAAAAAAAGCTGAAAAAAAGCTGTTAATGGCGAGTATTGTGCAGAGCAAAAACCAATTTTAAGCTAACAATACATTAACAAAAAACAGTTATAAAATATATGCAAATTCAACATAACAATGAATAAAAAAATAAAAGCCTAAAGTGAAACTGAGAAACTAAGTTATAACATAAAATGTTCAGCTCATGAAAACTTATGATTTTTTCAAGCCAGTTATCATAGTTTTCTAGTTTCTTGAAATTTCAACTGAAGGAAATCAGTTACTGTCAGAGTTTCATTTGAGCAAATAAAGGGTTTGTTAATAGAAATATAAAGAAGAAAAAATCTTTAAAGAATATGAATTACCTAGAATGATGTAAATGTAACATAAATACATAACTGTAGTTATCAGATAAATAACATGTACATTGGAGAGCAACAATTATGTAAGAAAAGCAGAAATCATTTGCAGAAGGAATAAAAACATCTAAGTTAGATAGGCCAAAATTGTTGTGTTTGGGATGCAGAAGAAAAGGAAAAACATATTCATGTTTTTGGAGAGGCTGGAAGAACTGTGTCAGCGAAACAAACAGACTGCAATAAGAAAGCCTTAAAAATAATTTCAGAAATAGGTTTTATGAAAGTGTTAGAAATTCATTCAGAAATAGCTTTAAGGAATTGAACATTTGCCTCAGCTCAACATTGTGATTACAAGCTGCCACAGTATATCAAGTACAGGATATTGCAGTTGCAAAAAATACTGTCATAAACTATAAATAGCCAAAAAAAAAAAAAAAAAAAAAAAAAAAAAAAAAAAAAAAAAAAACAATTATAAAAACACAATAATATATCAACATACAAAAAATAAAAAAGCACTCCAATACACTGAACATAAATGAAATATTTTTGAAAAAAGATAACTAGACTTTAAAAAAATTCATAACTTCATACACAAGACTGGATTTCACTTTTATAGTCAATAACAAACACATATCATCATTTCATGAACATTCTCTTACAGTAAATGTACATACTAGTACATGTATCTAATCCACCTTTTAACTATACTCTTAATTAGTACAATTTTTTACTTGTACAGAATTTTATACAATAACTTTTTGGCAATAAGTCTTGCAATATAAAATATTTCGTGAATCTAAGAGTCAAAATCAGACAATAAATGCAAGGTGAGGCAGTGATGTCTGTATTTTGATACAGTGGTGATACAGGTACTGGTAACTCACTTGTGGGTTAATTCAAGTCCCAAGAATACTACTTTGGACTGAAAATTGGACCACATGAGTATCCCATCATCTTTTGTGCAGAGGGCTATTTTACAAAAGTTCTCAAGGCTTAGCTTGGACAACTTGAATCAGATGTGGGCACATAAAATGCACCTGGCATCAATGGCCAAAAAGTGTTTCTTAAAAGAATGATTGGTCCACACATTAAATGCAGTTGACATAGCTGGCTTCTATTCCCAAAGTTACAGTAAGACCCAATACTCGGTCTAAAGTTTTCTTGTGAAACCAAACCCCAGCTTTAGCCCAGGCAACCTCCCAATAATTTGCCCCTTATCAGCAGAAACAGTTTAACTTTAAACTGGCAGAATACAGAGGAGAATGGTAACAGACATGATGACAATAGTCATCTCCTTTCATCAGACAACATACAGTATAATAATGCATCTCCATATGTTATAAACAATGATCAATTAATAAATCAGCTAATTAATTAGGGACAATGTCTAAAGTATTCATATCAATTCATATAAGATATATACATCATTCTAGGATATATTTAATGCAGTAATGCAAAGAAATCCATACTGTATATGTTGTATATAGTTAAGCAGTAATAAACAATATTTGGCGCGCGCGTATGTGTGTGAATGTGTGTGTGTGTGTCCATATATAAGAATTTTTTTCAGCTGTTATGCCTTTGCTTTTTGGTTGGAGACTTTCCACAGTAAAATGATTACTTGTAATATACATTGTATATAGGTTAATTCACTTTAATTCAAAACACAAAGAAAGCTGAACAGGAAAAGAACAAATATGAGATTTAACGATGTAAGATTGTATATAATACCAGATTATACTAATATTATCCCAAACTGACTTATTCAACTACTTTCTACACAGAAATATACACTAGCTGTTTAATATGAATTATATAATATTAATACACACCAATATAAACATATAAGTTATGAATTTTTGGACAATTCATTTGTTTACCACATGATAATTATCATTCACATTTACTTAATAATTTTAACTGTTAGTTTTAATTCTTTACTCTTTGGAACTAAGAACTATATACAAGCATTATTCATTAATGACTGAGGACCTGTCTTTCACTATGGTAGCCTCCATTGCACCTTTTCCCTAGTCACAAGTATCCTGACATTTACCTAACACAACTCTTGCAACTTCATCAGATTCACTAATGGTATCTATTATATAATATTTATAGGTAATAGGTTTCAGTTACCAGACACAATAGTACTTTTAAACAAGACAATTTTCAACAATATATACCAGTAGTTTTTTATCCCAACCCTTATGGACCACACAGTAGTTACTTACAAGTGTCCAGGATTAGGTGGGACAGTACTCCTGCATTTTTATTATCTGTTCCTTATTTCTCTCTCTCCCCCCCCCA